AAAAAAAAAAAATTATACAGAGGCTCCCACTGAAGAAAAAAATTCCCAATTTCCCCTTCTACCGATTGAGCGAAGAAGATTTGAAGAACAAGAAATACATAATCTGAATAATCAATTCAGATCATCATCATCATCATCATCATCATCATCATCATCATCAAGCAATTTGGTCTTAGCGGTTGAAGATAATTTTCAGGAGAGAGAAAAGGGTATCCATTTTTTTCTTCTTTATTGCGCTGCAATGGCGGAAGAGGAGAGGGTGAAGCTGTTCGTGGGCCAAGTGCCGAAGCACACGACCGAGCCTCAGCTCCTCGCCATGTTCAGAGACTTCGCTCTTGTGGACGAAGTCAACATTATCAAGGACAAGGTCACGCGCGCCTCCCGAGGTTTGATTTCCGGCGTCGTTCGCGTGTTTTTGTCTCCGATATGCGTAACGATTGCAGCCCATTGAAGTTTGTGCAGATGGGGAGCTTCCTTTTGAAGTAATTTTGGTTTTTAATTGTTTTTGTTTGGATTTTCAGGTTGTTGTTTTGTGATATGCCCGTCAAGAGAGGAGGCTGATAAGGCTGTAAGTGCCTGTCATAATAAGCAGACGCTGCCCGGGGTAAGTGTTTATGGCGATTGCCGAGCTTTTTGTAGCCTGATTGATAGATTATGGATGAAATTCTAAGAGAAATGGTAGCACCGTAGTTGAAATAATATGGGTTTTTGCAGAACTTGATGTGTTGTTAATGTGGTAATGATCTTGTATCACTTACTGGGTTTTGCTTATGCGATCTATCATCGGTGGCGTTTATGGTTTTGTAAAATGTATGGCAGTTAGCATATATAAGTGCTGCCGGGATCGCAGTATCTAACTTCCAAGTACATGCCACAGCCAGGTAAGAGTGCTGGAAGTGAAGGCATTACTGGTTATGATTTTGTGTCATGGATGCTATACAATAGTTGCCTGGAAGATTTATGCGATCCGAGGACTTTAATTTGTTTTTATTCAAGATCATAATAATTGTTGAGAAATCCATACAATTTCTGAATACCTTAATGCGTATCTGCGTATTTCTAGACTTTTGTAGCCGAGTACTCTTGGATGAATCTGTAAGTTAAGTGTTCACTTGGAAATCAAGCATTTTGCTGAGCTATTTATCTGTATTTTGCTCCTGGTCGCCACGTTAGCCAACGTCTATATAGCTTATATAATTGTGTGAAATATATAGAGAGGAAAATAGTACTGCATTTGGGAGAAACACATCATTTCCGTTATATCTCGATTTGTGCCTTTTCCCCTTATTTATTTATTTTTTGTTTTTTTTTTCTGTGTCTTATAATGCCTCAGGCAGCTAGTCCACTGCAAGTGAAGTATGCTGATGGAGAGTTGGAAAGACTAGGTGCAGTAATAATCTTTGTCCTCATGTTAGATGCTTTTCACTTGCGGTAGTTTGTCATTTCATATATTATTGTGTTAGTTCAATATGCCTAATCTTAAATGTTTTTTTTTTTTTTTTTTTATTCGGGGTTCTTTATCTTTTAGTTCATGTTTTGTTTTATTTAATTTTTTCGCTAAATATTCATTTATAAAATTGTCAGAGCACAAAATATTTGTTGGCATGCTTCCGAAAAACGTTTCTGAAGCTGAGGTGTCTGATCTATTTTCGGAATATGGAACCATTAAGGACTTGCAGATTCTCAGAGGTTCCATGCAAACTAGCAGAGGTGCATGATCCATCATCTAATTTTTCACCTATTCTCCGATTCTTTTTTTTTTTATATATAATTTTATGAGCTTAATGAGTTAATTTGGCATAATATGTTGAGTTTGATGAGTCTGGTCTTATCCACCCGATGTCCTATCTAATGAACCGCTTCATCATCTTAGGCTGTGCTTTTCTAAAATTCGGAACTAGGGAACAAGCAGTTGCAGCAATAGAAGCCTTAAACGGAAAGCATATGATGGAGGTGTGTCACTGTTTAGCTTTTTACGTTTATATATATATATGTGTGTATCTATATTTAATATGTTGTGTTTCTCAATGCTTAAACCATGCTAAAATCATGCACCACGACTTTTGCATAGTCCATTTAAATTGTTGAAATCATAACCTTAATAGATATTGTAATAGGGGTCAACTATTCCGTTAGTCGTCAAGTGGGCCGACACAGAAAAGGAAAGACAGGCTCGAAAAGCTCAAAAAGCCCTCGCACAGTCTTCTAATGCTCCAATTGCAGACTTCAGGCATCGTCCATCCATTTTTGGTGCTCTACCAATGGGTTATATGCCTGCATATAATGGATATGGTTATCAGGTCTGTTGATTTTGTCACAGTATTTCGAATTCTTTAAATCTGCCGTGACAGAGAAAAAAAATAAAGAAAAACAGAGGTTTTGGAACGTAAATGGGCAAGTATAATACTTCTTAACGTACGAGAGGGGTTCTTGAAATTTTTCTTATCATGCATATACAGAACTCAAGGTTGATTTTGTAATCTCCAAAAACTCGTGGATTATGTAATTAGCCCAAACCTCATATTTAAAAAAACATAAAAATAAAAAATAAACTACAAAGTGCATTTTCTTGCTGGATGCAGTACTTTTCTCCTAGTTGATTCCAAAGGTACAATTTATATCATTTTCTGCTCGCCTTTGTAGACTCCAGGGACTTATGGACTCATGCATTATCGGGTGCCACCATTGCAGAACCAACACACGTTTTCCAATTTGGTTCCACCTTTCAACTTAGCAAGCGGCATTCGTGGAGTGGCATCCGATCTTTCATCTGGAATGGTACCGAGAAATTATGGAGGTTACATCGGATCTGCTTATCCACCAACCCATTACCCTGTAGGACTTCTCAACAGTCGCCAATTTTGTCCCACATCGCCTTCTGCTGCCGACACAGAGTCTGCAGCATTTTCAAGTGTTGGAACAAGTTCTGAGGCTCAGATTGAAGGTCGTTGGATAATCAGTTCTCCTTAGTATAAATCTACACTCCCTTCATATTTGATAAGTTACTTGGCTGATCTTTAGACAACTGCACGGTACATTTGTTCAAGCACAAAAAATTATCTACGGCCTTTATGCTGCAGTTATTCTGCAATATTTCTATTTTCTTTTTT